TCTTTCAAAAAAAAGCTGATGCAAACTAGTCAAACAACCATTTGATTAAAAAAGATCATGAATTCTGAACCTTTTCATCCAATGATCAAATAAAATGGACTAAAAATTAAACTCAAATGCATTCTCCACAAACTCCCCCCAATATAATATTAACAGTTTTCTGTTATTTCAAAAATAGAAGTTATCTACTTGACTCTCTGGAAAGGACTCTTGTCTTTTTAAAAATTATATTACCAGCGACAGAAAATGAACTAAATATCTATAATTATCAGTTTAATTGTTGGAAACCTCTGACCTTGTGTTCTCAGACTTAATGAAAAATACGAAAACCAAATCTATTTTCAAGTATTTTCGAATTAAGTACTCCAATGAGTAAATAACGTCTTCAGCAGGCTTAACTAACAGAGTTTCAAGTCAAACAAGAAGAAACAAAACAGAACTATCTATTATCTGCGTATTCAGCCACAGGTACAAAAAGTGATGGCTTCTGCCCTATATTGGGAGATTTTTTTTCCCCAAAACCAAAAGTACACTTTACTGGAAAATGTAGGTCGAATGAGTCTAGGGAATATTAAGAAAGAATATTAAGAAAGGAAGAAAGAAAGAATATTAAGAAAGAAAGAAAGAAACTTAGGAAGCCAGAAGTCCCTTTCTAATTTATTTTCAGATCAATCCACACAGCTTCTAAGTACTTCTTTAAAGTGCGACTGGAGTTCGAGTCCCACACTTATCAAAATCAGGAACGAAACGAATGAGCTTCTGCTCCTAGTGGTGCACCACGAAGGCCTCTAAGACACGAGGTGGGAAGAAATGGCTCGGCCTTTGCCCCCAGTCTTGATAGACCAGGAGGCCGGAGCACAGACCGGTCTCAAAGCCGAGTCCGAGAACCCCGGCTTAGCCAAGATGGGGCGGGAGCGGCGGGGGGGCGCGCGCGCACGCGGCTTTCCCGCCTCCCGCAGCTGGGTCAGCCCAGCCGCCCGGCCCCCGCCCAAACGTTCCCTTTACAGTCCCCCACTCCACTCGGGAACCTCCTCACCTCACGAGCTTCATCCTAGCTACGCCGTCACCCTTTAGGCCCGGTGGAGTACAGAACCAGGTAGCAAAGGAACGCTAGACTGAGAGTATGAATGGCCGGAAACACCTCCTCCAAGGGCTCTGGACGTAGAGAACGCGCGGAGCGCTGGGGACGCACGGCGGAAACGGGCCGCGCTCCCTTCCGGTCGCGAGAGCGCAATTGCGGCCCCTTGCGGCTGGAGGTGTGCCATGCGACTGCTGAGGGCGTGGAGAGTTGGTCCGGAAGAAAAATGCAAGAGGGAGATTTGAAATGATTGCATCTAATTAGTAAGTAGGTCGTCATCACGCTTCCGCACGGCGAGGTGAGGAAGCGCCAAATATGCTTTCCTCAATGAAGGAGCAGTTCTGAAAGAAGCCTGAAGGACTATGAAATTCTGCTTCAATACCAGGAACCTTCGAATGTCTTAAAGTGCCTGAAAACAAACACACAGACACAAACGCTCACACACACATACATACACAATATAGCTGATTCTTTTCACTTTGAATTCTGATCTCCAAGACAAACTTTGGTATCTTCATCTTAATATCTCAGCAACATTTAACAGAACTACTTCCTTTAAGAAACGCCTTCGTGGGACCAGCAGTTAGCGTAATGGCTATGTCGCTGGACTCCCACGTAGTCGACCGTGGTCTAAACTCACGCCGGGTGCGTGTGCGTTCGTGTCCAAGACTCCAAGAGGAGAATGGAGGAGAAGGGATTGCGGCATGGCCATCCCTCCTGGGGGGTGATTTCTCACTTTCTCTCTCCCTCTCTCTCTCTGGTCAAATTAAGAAAAAAAAAAAGATGAATAAATAAAATAAATACCTAAAAACAAAAGAAACACCTTCTTTGGGCTGGCAGGTAGATGTGGTGGTTAAGGTGCTAGACTCCCACATGGCTGACTGTGGTTTGAGTCCTAGATCTGGCAGCTTGCTTTCTCACTCTCCTTCTCTGTCTCTCTAATAATAAATTAAATAAATTAAATAAATAGCTTTTGGAAAAGAAAAGAGGGACCAGCAGTTGGCGTAATGACTATGTCGCTGGATTCCCACATAGTGGAATGCGGTTCCAGTCCCGGACCCGGTGACTTAAACTCACACCAGGCACATGTGTGTGTGCCCAAGATCTGGAGAGGAGAGAAGATTGGAGGAGAAGGGATTGCTGCGTGGCCATCCCCCCTGGGGGGTGATTTCTCGCTTTCTTCTCTATCTCCATCTTTCTGGCAAGCGCTCATGCCCTATATGAAAACTTCTCAAAAAAAAAAAGAAACAAAAGAAATGTCCTCCGCTGGCTGCCAAGATGCCAAGCATTCCTGATTTTCTTCTTCTATACTTTGTAGGTCTTCTTGCTTCATATCTGTTTATGGAAACACTGTATATTGTAGTGCTTTGGGTTGGCTTACAGATGCCTGTCAAATTTTACTTATTTATTTATTTATTTATTGTAAAGATACCCATTTAATTTTTTAGAACTATTTATTTATTGGGCCTGTGCGTGGCATGGTGGTTAAAGGTGCTGGATTACCACCTGACCGACTGCAGTTCAAGTCTCAGACCTGGCAGCTTGCTTTGTCACTTTCTCTCTTTCTGATCTCTAATTTAAAAATAACAAATGTGGGAACGAGTAGTTAGCGTAATGGCTATGTCGCTGGACTCCCACGTAGTTGACCGCGGTTCGCGTCCCAGACCCGGTGGCTTAAAATTCACGCCAGGTGCATGTGCGTGCATGCCCAAGATTCCGAGAGGAGAATGGAGAAGGGATTGCGGCGTGACCATCCCCCCTGGGGGGTGATTTCTCGCTTTCTGTCTCTCTGTCTCTCTGTCTCTCTCTGTCTGGCTAGCGCACGCGCCCTATAGCAAAAACCTCTCCAAAAAAAAAAAAGAATTTAGTTAGCAAATAGAAACTGTTGTCCTTAGCTATAGTTCTTTTGAGCCCTAAATGCAGCCAGCTCTTTGTTAAAACAGCCACTGTAACTCCATCTTGGGTAAAGACATCTTGGGCCTTATACTGTAACTATATATCCCAAGCTTATCTCCTACCTCAACACCACCTGCTGACCACAAGCCTTCCATTGATGAAGATACCTGTCATACGTGGACCACAATTCCAGTAACAAGGCTGTAATGGACATTTTGTGTGCTGCCTTCCAACATCTATCCTCCTCTCCTCCCCAAGGTCCCTAATATTATTTTGGTGATCCATGTAGTACCTGACTCTACCCTTTATACTAATGATCAAATTCATTATTTGTTCACCAGTGGGTTTGAGATCTAAGATGACCCAGTTAGAATTTTGCCTGTCTTTTTTGGATGTGAATGGAGAGGTAGTAGCCCCTTGATCATGGAAATGACTGAACTCTGTAAAAATACTTTAATAGATTTATTCAGAGCCAAATTTTTGAGTGACTGTGGTCTGAGAACACAATCTCTGGTAACCCTGAAAAGGTGTGTGTGTGTTGGGGGGGGGGTTAGATACAGCAGCTCTTTGATGTAGTTCTGAGATCTGAAGAACCAGCAAGACTGAATCAGCACATGAAGTTTTCATATTAACCTGGCTGAAAAGGCAGAAGAGGGACCAGCAGGTGGCATGGTGGTTAAGGCGGCTGGACTCCCAGATGGGTGACTGTGGTTCAAGTCCCAGATCTGGCAGTTTGTTTTTGTCACTTTCCTTCTCTCTCTCTCTGTCTCTTTCTAGTCAACTTCAAAAAAACCCCAAAAAACAACAAAACAAAACAAAACAAAAAAACAGAAAAAAGAAACAATAACAATGAATAAAATTAAATAAAAGTAATTATTTAAAAGGAAAAGGCTGAACATATAGAAGTGGGGGCTTATGGTTATAAGTGGGATAGAAATTCCTAGGTTAGGAGACCAGCAGTTAGTGTAATGGCTATGTTGCTGAACTCCCATGTAGTCGATCGCGGCTCGAGTCCCAGGCCTGGTGGCTTAAACTCACGGCGGGCGTGTGTGTGTGCACGCCCAAGATCCTGAGAGGATAATGGAAGAGAAGGGATTGCGATGTGGCCATCCCCCCTGGGGGGTGATTTTTCGCTTTCTGTCTCTTTGTCTCTGTCTCTCTGGTGAGTGCATGTGCCCTATAGCAAAAACCTCTTACAAAAAAAAAAGAAATTCCTAGGTTAGCTCAAGTCTGTCTCAAAAAAAAAAAAAAAAAAAAAAACCCTCAAAGTCAGCAGAAAAGAATGTCTATGTTTAAATTTAACACAGATAATATGGCTATGCTGTACATACCGTGCCAGTCAGAATGTCGTATCTCACAGCCACTGGACCAAAGCAGTCTGTTTAGCAAGATTAACTGCTTATTAACTGGCTGATTCTTCCTAGGCCTCTAAGAAAATCTTAGGACAATGGAGTCAGTTTAATGCCTCACCCTGTAGCTATTGGAATTTTCGTCAGTACCAAATGGAGTACTAATCTCAGGACAGAGAGTTGTGAAAAAGATAATACCCATGACAACATTAATGAGCCTCTAGATCAAAACCTTGCCCAAGGCCAGCAGGTGGCATGGAGGTTAAGGCAAGTGGATCTCATATGGTCAACTGCTCCGGTTTGAGTCCTGGTCCTGGAAGCTTGACAGACATACCAGAACATGCCAGGTACATGTGTGCACACATGTGTGTGTGCGAGGAGAATGAAGAAGAAGGGATTGCATATGTGCCCATTCTTTCCAGAACCGCGGTTCAAGTCTCGGACCCGGTGGCTTAAACTCATGCCGGGCATATGTGTGTGTGTGTGTGTGTGCCCAAGATCCTGAGTATATTAAAGTATACATATATTCCTGCTTCAGGAATATGATCTACTTCATTAAAAAAAAGAATTGTGTCTATTCTATACACTGCAGCAGCCTAGTATCTGAATAGTGCCTTGCTCATAATAGGACCTCAATAAACATTTGTGAAATAACCCAGTGTCTTCCTGACAACAATGTGTGTTCCATGAGAAAGGAGACCTTGTGTCATTCATTGTGGTATCCCTGGTTTCAGAGTACTCCTCCTTATAGCCCTCAAGGCCTTCTTACCCTTTACCTCTTTCTTTTTTTTAGTTGTTTTGCCATAGGGCATATGTATTTACCAGAGACAAACAGAGAGAGACAGAGAGGGAAAGTGAGAAATCACCAACCAAGGGAGATGGTCGCGTGCAATCCCTTCTCCTTTATTTCCTCTTGGGATTTTGGATATGCTTGCACATGTGCACAGCATGATTTTCAAGCTGCCAAGTCTGGTACTCAAACCATGGTCGACCATGTGAGAACCCACTGCCTTAACCACTGGCCCCTACCCTTTACCTCATAATTCTGCTTCTCTTACCATCTCCTTTTCCCTTGATAGTTAAGAATATTAGAGGTTTTTTTTTCTTCTAAGTTTATTTATTTCATGAGAGTAACAAAGAAGAAAGCATCCTCAACAAGGTCTTCTACCACAATCTCCCCTCCCCTCAGTCTTCCCAGCCAGCCCGTATCAGGGGTGTGTGCTGGGCATATGCAGGTGGATCAGGGAACTGAATTTGTAATCTTCCATATGGATCCAACATCACTGGAGCAAAACATGACTACTGCACCACCAGGCTGGCCAGGAATGGCTGAGTTCTTGCAGTTCACCGAGTTCACTTTCCTTTCCAGACTTTTGTACATGCAGTTCTTTAATTTGGCTAACAGCTACTCATCCCCCACTCAAGTCTGTGAGGCCAGCATTATTACTCGTATGTATTAGTGGTGAGTCTTCCAGATGGCAAAGTGAAATGTCACTGTCAGCTGATTCAAACCACATTGCTATGTTCTTTCTGTTTTTATTTCCTAGCTTGACATTTTTTAGAATTTTTATTGTCTCACAGCATAACATTTTCAAGTAAAATCAACAAGAGTGTAATGACAATGTAAAGTCCTTTATTTGCTGCTAGCAGGAGGGTCAGTCTGAAAGTAGATTGTCCTCTGTGAGTTGGCAGATCTTTCATATATTTCAGGCATTTCAAATGGTTGATCACAAAAAAGAAAAGGAACAAAGCAATGGTATTATGATGTGTGAGAAAATGCAACTTTTCCAATATTAGTTTTTAGAAGTTGGTGTCCTAATGTTAAGCAAATGCAGAAAAGTACATTCTGCACATTATAATCAGCAAGGA